GGCCCGGCCCGCTAGGGTGCTTACCCTGGCGAGCCGCGTGCCGAACGTTGCCGACTCCTGCTCTAAACCATTTTTGTAAGTGGTATTTACACACTTCAGTAACACCCCCCACCTGAAACTTTAGGCTCCTCCTGTTCAAATCATTTAACCCTTTAGAGGCACGCAATGGCGGCTCCCCCATCCAAAGGGGGGAAGTGCTTCTCTTGACACCAATCTTTGATGTAATCCCCTTTTGTCCTCCTGGCTATCTTTCCATACATACATACACTCCCCACTTCTACACCGCCTGCCCATCCCTCCACCCTCCAGGATGTTGTTCTGCACCTCCCTCTGCAGCTCCAGCGAAGTCCACTTTTGAATAGACTCTAATCTCTCTTATTTTAAATTCTTGATTTACTACTGTCTCCATTTAACAAGTCATTATGCTGATTTCTAGAACAAAAAAGGTTTTTTAAATTTATTTTTAACTTTAATGTTTGGCTTACTTAGAGCATGGAGATAACTTTGAAGGGGAACAGTAGACAATGCAAATAAAGTGTTAGCAATTTGTATCTTATAGCGGAAAAGTTTTTGACAAAGCGTGTTGCAGCTTTTTATTAGACTTTAAGATGAAGATGATGTCATATGCTTTCTTTTGCTCCCAGGTTGTACGATAATTTTAAAACGGGAACATTTGTGCTCTATAAGAGTACATCTCGGGATTTTGAAGTTCATGTGCGCCAGTGGGACTGTGGCAGCCTTCACTTCCCAGCATCATGTAACTGTGGCTTTGTTGCCAAAGAGGGAAGTGATATAATTGCATTTGACATGTGCAGCGGTCAACTACATGAGTCACAGCCACATTTATCTGTAAAGAGTAGAGACATAACGGGAAGCAATATCAGGATCACTGAATCCTATCTAGGAAGAAAAGTCACGGTATGTGGTAAATATTATTTGCTGTGGTGTTACTCATTTTGGAAGGTATTTCTGCCAATTCAGACTGCCAAAGCCTGTGTTATCTTCTGTAGTGAAACAATACAATAAAGCCTGTTTTACAGCTCTAATCCCATTGAATCAAAGGGATAAAATATCCGCCCAGAACACATGCATGAGTCCCACCACTGCTCTTGGAAATTACATACACATGTCAAGAGGAGATTATCCTTTGAAGCCTGAATTACAAAGAAAATGTTTAGGCCTCCGTGCTTTATAAGTTTAGATATACCAGCTGCATGACAATTTTAGTAAATTAAGAATCAAGAGCAACATTTTCAAATGTGGGTGGCAAAATCCACATTTAGGTACTGAAATAAAAGTGGCCAGATTTTCATTTATATTGCATACTTCATTTGAAGAGCCCAAATATTAATCAATTAATCAATACACCTCTATAAGTTAGAAACGTATCATTATCCCCATTCTACAGATAGGGAAACTGAGACACAGAGAGGTTAACCAGCTTGCCCAAATTTACTCAGTGAGTCAATGGCAGAATTGGGAGTGAAAACCAGGAGTTGTAAAGTCCTATGTCCTTGCTTCAACTACTAATCCGGTGCCAGTCACCTCCTCTACTAATATTTACCATGCAAGAGTAACACTTTTTGCTCTTCTATGAATGTACAAGCATCCTTATTTTTCCTTTTGACTAGAGCTCAGTGTTTCTGATTACAGAAGAGATAAATCAGTTTAATGAAGCATGATTATGTTCTTTACCTGCTTGCTGCAATTTAATTATCAACTTTTTTTCTAATAAAGCATTAAACTAGCATAAATATTGCTTAGCATTGAAGAAAAATAATTATGGGTAAAGCTTTATCTACTGAAAGACTGTCCCTATTCAAATCCAGTGGCTGGAAGTTGAAGCTAGACCAAGTCAGACTGGAAATAAGACACAACTTTTTAACAGTGTGGATAATTAATCGTTGGCGCAATTTACCAAGGCTCGTGGTGGATTCTCCATCACTGGCAATTTTTAAATCAGTATTGGATGTTTTTTAAAGAATGTGTTCTAGTTCAAACAGGAATTAATTCAGGGAAGTCCTATGGCCTGTGTTATGCAGGAGGTCAGACTAGATGATCACCATGGTCCCTTCTGGCAATATTAATCTATTAAAATATCTTATTACATCTATCCAGAAGATTTTGCTCTTAAAACACATCGTTCCTTTTCAAATAGATTGCAGAGATGTTTGAACTAAAATAATAAACTCTGAGATTCTCTTGAGATATTCTGGAACATTTAGGTCCAGCTTCTCATGTGTAGAAGGTGATTTTGCACCATATTACCAGCAGACTCTGGCCTTAAAACCAGCACAGCCAGGTTGAGGGTGACCCCAGTGTTAGGTGATCCTCTGGTGGCACCTGTATCTCCCCTTCCCTGGTGCCAGCATATATAGAGTGACTTGATCTTCTCTATGCTTAGCTGATCTCTGGCTCCTTGTGTTTTTGGAGCAGTTGGTCCTCCATTTTATTCCTGCTAACAACCATGAAGTCCTACAGGACTACAACGTATAATATATCTGACCGTCATGAAGGTTATGTGGCCATGAAATCACCACACTGGCTTGTAGGGTTTGACTGTGAGATACAATATGAAAATAGTTCTGGAAAGGTTAGTCAGATGAAGAGTTTAACTGCTATATACCTGGCACTTCCCTATTTGTTTCCCCTGTTGTCTGATATTTTATACCTAACAATTAGTTGTGTCTATTTGTTGTGGTAATATCAATCTATTTTTAGATCTCATTTTCTTCTGGAGCTTTCATTCGTGCCGATGTGAGTGAATGGGGAATGAGTGTGACACTCCGGGCACCCAGTTCAGATTATAAGAACACTTTAGGACTTTGCGGCACATTTGATGGAGATGCAGAGAATGACTACCACACTGTGAATAGGAAAGAAATCCCAAAGAATTCTAACGCTCATCTTACTTTTATTAATGAGTGGAGGTAAGAAAGACCATTTATTTGAATCAAATATCAATTCCCTGCAGAAAATTCTTCATTTCCAATTCAGCTTTTCCCCTACGTACTTTGAAAACCTGTTTTATTACAAAATCTTCCTAGCTTTATAGGTTGATATTTAATCATGGAAAGAAACTATAGAAATGTAATTATCTTATGGCACTAATTATTGATGTGACAAATTAATGCTTGAGGATTAATTGCTATTTAGTATTTGTTAAAAGGCTATTAAACAATATAACCAGCCGTACCGCACAAACCAATGCATTTATTCATGCTTTTCAATCATATTGTCAAAATGTATTCTCATGGTTTTGTAATTTCTATAGGTCACTTAAAATTTTGAAAGGCTAGATGGTGATATTCAGTATCTACTATAATCTAGGGTCCAGTGGTATAAACAACACTGTGGACTTCTAAAATAAAAGAATTCAACAATATAACAATTTGCAGTATATTCATTTTTCTTTTCTCTTCTTTTATAGAATTTCACCAGGAGACAGTTTGTTTGACAAAACACCAGGTTCTTTAAGTTCATCCAAGAAAACACCCTTCTGTAGTTGCACAGTTGATGATGCTGGATTATATCAATCGGTGAATAAATTGGATTCTGTTTCTCAAACAGAATCTGCTTCATCTTGCAAAGAAAGTGAAAATGTTAAGTTTCTTTCTTTGATACCAGGACTGGATGTCACTGCTGAGTATTTTAGCTCTGTTGATCTTATCAGGCGCTTAAGCAGACGTGCATCTTCACATGAAAAGGATTCTTCTGCTCTTCTGTCAGGAGAAGACCAGTCTGTTAATCAAACCAAACATCACACACAAACCCTAGCACATACAGCTATAAATTCAAGGGAAGACACTGGAACAGAAAAACAAGGCTCATTGAGCTTGGGAAGTAGAAGAAATAAACAGAAGTATGACAGCCATCTCCACAAAAGACAGCCTGTCAGAAATAGATGGAAGCGCCAGCATTATTATGAATACCTTTCTGTATTTCCATTCCAAAGTCTCAGCCAAATGGACCTGGAAGGGTTTACCTATTTTTTTCCAGAGGACCATATCCCTGACACACACCAAGAATTTTTTCCTTCTTGGCCCACACCTTCTGGCCTCACTGAGTCCAGTGCCTTGGCACTATGCAAGCAAACAATAGCTAACTCCAGCATAGGAAGAGCTTGCACTGCTCTTCTTGGCAGGCGGATAGAGGATACAGTAGATATGTGTGTTAAAGATCTGTTGCTAAAGGATGATCTCAGCTGGTCAGAAGCAGGCATGGCCCTGTTAGAGAATGAATGTGAAAAGAGGGTTTTGGAAGAAATAAATTACAACACACAAGGATTTCAGGGGTCAATTGAAGACCTTCTCTTAGCATTAAAATGCCCCAATCTCTGCAGTGGTAATGGACAGTGTGTAGAATGGGGCTGTGCCTGTTTTCAAGGCTTTAGTTCCTATGACTGCAGTGTGTTGTCTGGTAAGTAGAACTGTACAGGAATATTTACTCATACAATGTTCTTGGGTTTTGTGCCAGACTGGCTCATTTTATTGCCTTTCTCCCCTGCTTTTGCACACTGACAATTGTTCCCTACAGTGGGCCTACTCATTATCCCACAACTTCATTCCAATAACAGCTATATGTGTTATCTGTTCTGCCTCCTTGTTTCCCAAGGGCAAGCCACAGACTCAGTTTCTGGCATGTCAGAATTAAAATGGTGACGACTGTCACTGAATATACAATCTAAACTACTAACTGAGGAGAGAAGCATATTTCACACACAGTCTTCTGTCAAGGAGAGCTGTCACACATATCCATTCCCTATTTTTAACTTCTTTAAGGGCCCTGATCATTAATTGGCAGTAGAATACTTTTTTATTTTGCAGGAGCTGCTTCCCTGACAGAAAACTATTTTAGGAGGGTATCTACATCAAAAAGAAAACAGTTAGGTTTGGGCTGTAGACTCCTTTCCCCCATCCATTTCCATTTCTACCATTTGTGACGTTAGGGCCTGATTCTCAGTTACACTTTATACTGCCAGAGGAGTGTAAAGATATGTTACTATAAATGAGAAGCAGACCCAACACATGCCCAGCCACTTCTTAGCAGCATGAAAATTTCCTTGCAGACTCAATATCAAAAGTAGAGCTAAATAGGAAACTTCAAATTTATAAAATGTTCCAGTTAATTTCTTTCTTTGGTTGGATCTCTAACTTAGATCTACAAGATGTTGTACTGTATTTGTATATCTCTTTCCCATATCTGCTGTATGCCAGATTTCTGTCATTCTAAAATTGTATCTGAATTCTCATTTAAACATTTTAACCAGTCAAAATGAAATGCTGAAGACAGACCAGGCAGGGCAATATTGTTTACTTTTTCTTCTAATATATGTCTAGTTATAGACATATGCATTATGCTTTACATAGTTTAAATGTGTGTTAATCAGTTAATTTGTTGACTTTTACTTACTGATATTTACTTCAAAGATCAGGTTCCAGAAATTACAGAGCTGGAGAATGATGGATTGTGTGATGTTCGACAGTATGACTGTACATCTGTGAGAGCTTTTGGCCAAGGATTCAGGGAGTCACCCAGTCTGAAATGTGAAATTATCAAACTACAGGTTTGTCATTTACACAGTAATACTTATATTTGAACTTTTCAGAGCACTGGGAATAATTTCTAATTTCCTGGGCAGAATAGAGGGCATTTATATTAATACACACACAGCCCAATCACGCAATGGAAGCTGAGATCAAATATACTCAGCTCTTTACAGTGGGCACTCAACTCCTTGCAGGACTGCCATCTCCTCAATGGTAAGAGAAATAGAAAACATAATAGGAATTTTTAACAGTTGAGCGAGAGATAACAGCAAACAGCAGCCAGTTATCAGAAAAGCATGTTGAGAAATATATCTATACAAGGACAGCCCTATGTTAGGGAGTTTCAGTAGTGACCAGGTGGTTGTAAAGAAAAGTCCTTACAGAGACGGATAGAGTCCTGTTATTTGGAGGGCAAGGCAGCTGGCTGAAGGACACCCCTAATTTTTCCAGGTTGGAGCCTGATGCTTGAAATGGCATTTTGAAATATAATGTTTCTGTTATAAAAATGGAGGTGCAATTTTTGCCACACACTGGGGTAAAATACAGCAGCTATTTAATAATAGTTTAGGACAGGATATTAAGAATACTGTAACATATGCTAATGAAATTGCAGGAGGAATTTAGGTAGACAGAATGCAGGAATTGCCCAGGACACTTGATTAACTCATAACTATTGGAAAGCCTGAAGGAGTCATGCTGCAATGAAGAGTTGGCCTCTTGATCTTGGACAAGAGACTAAGAAAGCTCCAAAGTAAAATTGCTTTTCACTTATGTGGGGTTTTGTTTGGAGTGTATTCAATGGGAAACTTTCCTTTTTGAGACAAGAAACTTTTACTCAACTAGTTCCTGCAGATGCTATGATTATTTTGACAGATTATAGAATGCAGGCTGTAGCTATTTCTTGAGCACAACATGGATCCACTTATCTACATGTTGGTTCAAAATGAGAAAGTCAACAGCAAATTTACACTCCATTAGGTTAAAAGCCCTTCAGATCAAGCTCCCAGTGAGGCAGTTATTGAGAGTTCGCTTATCACAGTTTGAAATGTCTCACTCACCTCATGGCAAGGTTTTCTGTTCTAACACTCTCTGTGGTAGCACATTTGGTTCCCAGCTACAAAATCTTTATTGTAAATCACTTTTATTGACACTCCTAGTACTGACTTGAGCTAAGTTAGAAAATGAGCCCCACTGCTAATATTTGTACAGGATCAAACTTCATGGGGAATCTGAGGTATTGTCCTGAGAATGCCAAGTACTGGAATTTTTTTTACTTTCAGGGCTATCTGCCCTGTATAATTACAGTGGTGTAAATCAGGAGTTACCCACTGTTGTCAGGAGAGTCACAACAGTGTAAAAATTGGTCCATTAGAACTGGTCTCTCTGTGGTTTGGTACAGACCTACTTGCTCCCACATCTCCTCGAAGAATCATTTTAGCAGGCATCTCATTAATGAAGAAATATTTAGCTAAACCTGGGAAAAATTCTTGTTCTTCACTTTCTCACTTCTGGTTAAAGGCCAAATCCATCCTTATTCCCCAAGAGTGTAAATCCTGATAGGGAGCAGGAAAGAAGTGTGTCTGGTGCATGGTGGAAATAAAGATGGCTGTGGGGAGCCTGCATAGGAGTATTCCACACTCCCAGGAGCAGCTAGGTACTGCTCTGTAGGGCAGCAATCTGTGCCATAGCAGGAGATTTTGGGGGCCATGACAAGTGAGTCTATGATTACACAGATACATTGGGGAAATTTACTGAGCTTTCGTAGGGGGCGAGACAGTTTAGCCCACACAAGCAAAATACAGAGTAAGATTCAGTCTGATTCGCATGAAATTGTACATGCACGTAGACCTGGGAACATACTTTGTCTCAATACCCTTGACATCTGGCTTTGTAATTAAAAAAAAATTAATCTGTTTCTGTAGCAAATTCATACCTCAGAATTCCCAAGATTGGTAACAAAAAGACTACTGTGGAAAATGTCTGCTTCACATTTCAAAGGTTATGAGGGTAAATGCCGTCAAAATTGCACTTTTATTAATAGTTCTATTAGCTTTTATTCCTTCAATGTAATTATAGATTATCATTCTTGCCACATTCCTTTTAAAAAAGGAAGACAAGAAAGAAAGACAGAATATCTTTATATCAGAACCAAAATAGTTCACATATGGGAAAAAAAACAGTTAGCAAAATAACTGTCCAATTATATTGGAAAAAGGTTAGCTGTTTAAATAGTCAAGTTAAATTTGACTCATGATGAAATTTCCATCTTTACAGCAAAAGAGATTTTGTGTGAGGTTATTTTTGTGTGTGTCAGATCTACAAATATTTAATATTTTTGTAAAAACTAATTAATTCGGATTCACTGTGAACCATCTCTTTCGGTGTGTCTAACTATTTTTTATTAAATTACACCTCTACCCCGATATAATGCGGTCCTCGGGAGCCAAAAAATCTCACCGCTTTATAGGTGAGACCGCATTATATCGGGTTCAGTCCAGTACAGCGTACCTGCAAGAGCCGGTATGCCATGCCGGACTGGACCGGCTTCCCCGGCAGTGATTAAAGGACCCGATGCTCCAGCCGCTGCCAGGAGCCCCAGTCCCTTTAAATCACCGCCGGAGCTCCGGCAGTGAGGCTCGGGCGGGGATTTAAAGGGCCCGGGGCTCCCCGCAGCGGCCGGAGCCTCTGGCCCTTTAATTCACCGCCCGAGCCCAGCTGCTGGAGCCCCAGGGCAGCCGTGCTCGGGCGGTGATTTAAAGGTCCCAGGGCTCCACACGAATTCGGATATAACGCGGTAAAGCAGCGGGGCTCTGGTGGTGCTTTAAAAGGGCCCGGGGTTCCCCGCTGCTTTACCGCGTTATATCCGAATTCGTGTTATATCGGGTCGCATTCTATCGGGGTAGAGGTGTATGTGATAGGTGCATCTGGTCATACAACTAATGCATCTAGGTATTGTCAAGCTGTCCTATAGTGACTCAAGAGTATGAGTACCAATCTCAGGGCAGATGATTAGGAAGCCTGGCACAAACCCCAAATTTGTTGAGCTGTACACTTAGATTTCACCAAAAAATTATCAAGTGCAAACTCCTCAGGTACTATAACAGCCTTAACATGGAGTCGCAGACAGTCCCCTCGGGTAATCCTCTATCTTGCCACCTCCGTAAGCTTAACTTTGTGACAGATGGTCTCTTATACCAAGGATCACAGCAATATTCAGGTTACTCCCGGTCCCAAAGGACCAATCATTTACCCTAGGGAAACCAATGCTTGTAGCCAGTCCTGTAATAAACTTTCTAAAGATTTATTATATAGGAAAAGGAACTATGAGAGTTATTTTCAAGTTTAAAGTAGGTAAACATACATACACAAAAGAGTTACAATCTTAAATTTCCAAAGTAATAGTAGCTTCTAGATAGCAAGCTCTATATGTACTTTAGGGCTAACCCAGTCTAACCACTGGGGATCTTTTGCATATGCCTAGCAATCCTTGCCTCCCAGAGTCCAGGCAACATAAAGATACAGTTCCTCTTTGTTAGGGGTTTTTATTCCCTTCCTTCTGCTGCTTTGAATGGCAAACTCAGCTGATGGAAGGAATTCACCTGCAAGCCTCACATTTATGGAGGTGGAGAGAGTAAACAATAAAGTCTTTTTTCCTCTTTAATGTTACATTCTAGTCCATCAGATGTTGATGGGCCTTCCTTGTCAGCCAGAACGTAAACACCTTCTGTTGGAAATCAGCACTTCACACCAGTTAATGTCGCTCTCCTGTCTGGTGATTTACACAATTACAGAGTCTTACAATGCAAATGCTCAAATAATAGCTTATAATATGGGATACAGATATAAGTGAAATTATAAGCATTCCATAAAGTCTAAATCTTCTTATAATTCTAATACCTCTTTTAGCAATACCAATACACAGGTGAGCCAGACTGGTTCCAGCTATGTATTTGTCATGCAGTGGAAACACGGGGACCTTGGTGTGAGCTGGCACCTGATCTGCCAGCATCACAGTTATGAGTACAATTCTGTATTACTCTCTCACAAAACTCTCCCACTGATATCAAGAACAGTTTTGTCTGACTAAGGACTTCAAGACTAGGCCCCATAGCATTATCATCTCTGTTCCATTATATTGGACTCTAAGGCCAGATCCCTGACTACAGCCAAGGAGCATACACTGTTACTCAGCATAGGGATATACAAAGGTGGCTTTAAACAGCATTTGTGGCTCCTCGAGCCTAAGCCAACTATACTGTGGGTTGGCTCCATGGTGCGGGTTAGAAGATCTTAATGGCTGACAGCCAATAACCCAGAGGGGTTGATATGATAACTAGGACTCAGGAAAGACCCAGTCCCATTCCCTTCACCCCAGCCTTGCCCACATACTGGAAACTGGGAGGAGGGGAGGTTTAGGCATTGCTATCCCACCTCTACACTACTAAAGAAGTTCCCCCGCACAATGAATGATCCTCTCCTGGCCGCCTGCCCCAGCTTTAGATCCATTATCTTCTGGACATGTGGTACCAAATGGCCTCACTGCAGGGATGAATCTGGGCCTTCAGTTCCAAACTAGCATTTCTAATTAGACACAGAAGACCTAAGCTGAAATGTGTTCATCAATAAATAATAATACTTAGCACTTCCATAGCACTTCACCATTCCGAAGTGTGACTAGCCATAGAAAAGACACATGTACTTTAATAGTGTTCAGTACATGTTCTCTGTTATAAACATGTTTTCAGAATGCAGTGATATGAAAAAACAGGCATTCTGTCCTTTATTTTAGTACAGCGATGGTAAATGGATCCTGGGAGAACCTGTGTTTACGCCGGCTGCCTTCCAAAACACCAGAACTGTTGATTGCCAACTGCCGACTGATGGTCAGCAATCTGATGTCATGGATCAGGTTGACGACAAACCTATTGCGAGGTGGCAAATCAAGGTACCCACAGTCATTTCAAATAGTAATTTTGAGATACAATTATTATTATTAAAATGCAAATTGGTATTTATATGTTGTCATTTGTGAAATAGTACTAGAACCTTTTGCTGGATATCTTGGTATAAATTCATTGCATTATTATTGTAACATCTTACAGATTTCTAATGATGGATTCATTTATAGCAACCCTAAAACAATGACATTATTTGATGGAGCTTGTCAAACATGTGAACCACAGGCAAATGGGTTATGTACATTAAAGGTATGTGCTTCGTTATTATTTATGCTTATTTTGAATATTTGCATCTTAGTTTGAGCTAGGAAACAAATATAAAGGCCAACTGAGTCCTTGGAAGATGTCTAATACATGTGTTCACATAATAGACTATTATTTGTTAAATACTGCTTGCCTTACTCAGGCAGGGTCAGATTCAGATACCCTTATTCATGGTGAATAATGAATAGTACTTTATTCCACAATAATTAATTCAACTATTTGTGAAGCAAGGGACCACATACTATGAATAAAAACGGGCATCAGAATCTGTCCTACAAAAGCACCATTGAAGTTAGTAAGTCTGTTCTTGTGAGCAAATTGGCCCTAAAATAGCTTAATCCATCGTGTTCCTGCAGGAACTACACATGAAACCAACTAGATACATAAACTGCTGTAGACCCATGCATGGAGCTCCCACTGATGCCTCCACGAGGGTGGAGGAAGTGAGGCCATGCACCTCCCTCACTCCAGACCAGCAGCGAAGTCTTGCAATGAGGGGAGCAAGCTGAGCAATCCTGCTTTGCACCAAACCAGTGAGGACTACTGTCCACCTGTGCCCCTGAGCTTGCTCTGAGAGGATGTCGCTATGCACCACCAGGCCCTTCTAAGACAAGTAGATAAATACCATATTCTAGCTCTAAAGGTGTACCTGGTATTCATGGTCAACTGCAAAGCAAGGATGAAATTGAATGAAGCACAGGTTTATCTGCTGCAAGCCTCCACCATCCAAGCTATGAGGGCTGGGAGGGGACATTCAGATAATCAATACAATGAATTTATTAAAATTCATTTCTTCCTTCTGTGACATCACTTTAGTATTTCCCACTTCAGCAAAATAATACATTACCTTGTGACATCACAAAGACCAGGGACCAAATTTATCCCTGGTGCAATTGTTCATTTCACTGACATTACACCAGGGATAAATTTGCTCCTAGAAGTCTTAAGGCTGTGCATGCAATGCACGATGTCAGTGTTGTCATAGAATGATGCATTTTGGGATATCTTCAAAGAATCAGGACGTTATCAGGGGAAAGTGCAAGAAGTGTCAACAATATTATAAATCAGATGTCCAGGTTGTAACAATAGGGATTTTTCATGCACAAAATTTACAAGAACAGATTTAGAGATTGGGATGAGGCAGCTTTGAAAATGTTGCCCTCAAATTCATTCCCAAGCAAAAATGAATACTTTATTCAATTAAATTGTTAAGTTAGAGTAGATTGTCTTTCTCTGACATTTTAAAGTACATAAAGATTTACTGTTTGAGAAACAAGAGAAAATCATAAACATTAATCAATTACATTGACATTTCTGTTAAGGAGAAAACATGCAACATAGATGGCCTCTGTTATGGGGAAGGAGATACAAATCCCACCAGCCCATGCTTACTCTGCAGACCTGACATCTCAAAGTTAACTTGGTCAGTTACTGAAAGTAAGTTCAAATTTGTTCTGGAGCTGCTCACAGGAATTAGGCTAAAACCTAATGAAGTGGTGGTGTTTCAAAATTGTTTTGATGCAAGCAACATATTGATTATGACTTCTGTTAAACTGTGCATGTGAAATGGACGCTATGACCCTGATTCAAAGCCCATTGAAGTCAGGGGAAAGACTCTATTGACTTCAGTGGCCTTTGGATCAGGCTCTTAGTGCACAAACTTGGACATGTGAGCACATGACCAGATTGGTACATGTGCACAACTCTGGTGACCTGGTAAATTTGCAGTCAGTCGAGGCGAGTACCTATTTTCACACACACAACTTAATGAAAATCAGCCAATTATTTAATAATGTATTCTCACCATTCTCTGTGCATTTTGTTCTGCTTGGTATGATCTTGGGGACAGCAACCTGTTAAATGTTTGACACACTTCACCTATTGTACCGTGTACACTGACAACAATATAGAATCGATTTAATGATTACATGTTAAAAGAATAGTCATTGGTTGTGTTCAGATACAATTAAAAGAAAAAAATAATTAGGTGAAAACTAGATTCATGGTGACTTAATATACATTTATACAAACTGAGTCCCACACTGCTGCTGAAGAGGGCTGGGAGCTCATAAAGACTCAGTGCCCTTATCCACTTAATGGACTGCTGTAGAACCTATCTCCTTTCTCTCTCTCTCTCTCCCTTTCTCCCACCCCACCACGTGCATGGAGCATGAAGGCTACTGCAGCCCCTGGAGCTTTGGTAATCCCCCTAGAGCTGCTTGTGGGGGAGGGGGCAGAGAAGAGGAACCAGATTAAATGAGGAGCCCACTGACAGTATACCAGAAATTAGCTGGTGAATAGGTGAGGAGTTGGAGCTAAGCCCTCTCTATCTTCTGACAGTCTCAGTGAGGAATTCTTTGGTACCAACAGACCCATTCCTGACAACTGGTGTCTCTGTTTATGTGCAGTGATCTAGTTCAGACCCCTCACTTTCACTGACTCCCTTGCTGCCACTCAGCCAGTGAGAACCTGCCTCTCCCACTGGAAAGTCAAGGTTGGCACTAGATTCCTGATGTCACTCTCCCATGCCCCCCACTTCTTAGCGTATGTGCAACATGCCTCAGCTGGCACATGACCAGAATTCATCACCGAATTTGGTCCACTGGTTGGCTCATTAGCTTCCCCGGCCCAGGCCGGGTACTGCCGGGGAGTGCGACGTGAACACTGATCCATGCCTTCCTACCCCCCCACCTGCAATAGGTGAGTAGGAGGTAGAGTCAGTGACTCATGGGATGGGATTTGGGGTAGCAGGGCAGCTCTGCAGCTGCTGCTATGGGTGGCCTTGCCCCATGGGATTCAGTTAGTGCTTTGTGTGCTGAGGGCCCAGCTAGGCTATGGATCTCAGTCAAGACTGCATACCTGCTATATACTCTAATTTTGCATCTTGCATTCTGACAATAGAACATTCTGTTTTGAGATCTACTAAAGAACAGCACTATATAAGAACTGGGTATTAATATTGTTTTGCAGAAATTTCAAATTAACAAAATAACTATTCTGAGCAGTTCTGTGTAATTTATCTAATGTGATTGTGGAAAGAATAATTTAGATAAGGCCCCGGTTTTCTGCTGGGCCTCAAATAGTCAAATATTGCTGTGCCTTAGTAGATTTTATGGATACAGTTGTGTCCGCAAACATTTGTACCTTCAACTTTGTAAGCATAAATGATAGTAAATGAAATTCTAACTACCTGATATATGTCTTAAGACAGGTTGTTGGATGGATAACTATCTTTTACATGCAGGGTCCCATCACTGTGGTATTTGATCACCGACTATTTTCACATGAAATTCACTGTGGACATGAAACCCATTTTTGTCCCCATTAACACAGCTATCTGCAGGCTCAAAATTGCAATCACATAAATAGAGTTCAGTTCTGAAAATGTAGTTCTAAATGTGTATGTTTTTTAACAGAATCTCATAGTTAAAGAGCATCATCTTCAAATTAAGCCATATTCAGCAAGCAGTCTGCATGCAGAACTCCCACTGATGTTAGTGGATCTGGATCTTAGTGGCAGAGTTTTTCATTCAAATTGCTCAAGAGGTGACATTGCTCTTGTCCTATAAGAGCTTCCTCAAGGAAAATGTAAACCATTTCTGGACTTTATGGGGTCTGATACTTTCATTTACAAAATGTAATTCAAGTGCAGATTTATGCTCAGATTTATAGAGAATCAAAGTATACGTCCAGATGGTTGAAGAGGTTTGAGGCTCTTTGTACATACAGATAAAATAAGCTTTCTGCAATATTTTTTCTATGTAATAAATAATTTGTTTATAAGCTTTGTTAAAGTTATGATAACAGGGCCTTTTTTTCTGTGGCATTTAAGTACCATTAAAGTTAAGAAGAATTAATTGCATTCATCAAAGTCAGAATAGACTCTTTAGAAGAAAATTATCCCTTTTCATATTTATAAATATGTTTTAACTGTTGTTTAAAAGAGAAAATGTCTACTTTGTTGCAGACAATGAGCCTCCTGTGCTTCAAACTTTGCAAGGCACACTACAGACATTTTATGGGGAAAATTTTGTGTACCAGTTTATGGCATCAGATCCAGAAGGCTCTGCCATCCTTTTTATGTTGGACTCTGGTCCTGAAGGTGCCAGCCTTTCCCCTTCTGGCCTCCTTATATGGAAAGCTGTGGCAAAGAGTTCACAGAAATTGACATTTTCTTTGACAGATGATTGCAATGCTGAGACTAAAGTAATAATAGAGGTAATGAATATTACAATCAAACAACCCACACTAATTCCTAACCTATAAGATACCTAATGACAAAACTAATTGCTAGTTCATAAGCAGTAATCTGTTTTTATTGGGCTTGTCTTGTAGGTCAATGTGAAATCGTGTGATTGTTTAAATGGTGGGTCATGTGTGACAAATATACATTTCCCATCTGGAAGTGGAAAATACCTGTGTGTCTGTCTGCCTGGTTTTGAAGGTGACCTCTGTCAAGTGAATTTTGATTATTGTAAATCTAATCCCTGTGGTATTGGCAGATGTGTTGATGGGATAAACAGCTACTACTGTGAATGCACACCTGGGCTGCAGGGTAAATTATTATTTTTCTTTTTTTAGTAGATAAATGACATTTTCTAATTGTTTTTTACTTGTTTTTATTTTACTTGTATAGATTGAAATTAATTTGTTGTGATAATATGAAGAAGTATTATACTCTTGTGATATAATACCACGTACTACATTATTCAGCGACTTTAATATTTTTCTTGTATCTGTGTGCATAATCTTGGCCATATGACACTATTCTATCAGAAAAACTGTTAAGCTGTGAGTCTCGCCCCAGCTGACTCAATCTGTAAACCCAAGTCATAATGCTTCTGACATTAATAATTTGTTCACTGGCCACTCCAGAGTGAAGAGGCTGACCTAATAAAGCTGATCTATATTGGGTTTAAATTTTCTTCTGTGAATCAGTTGCTGTGATATTTGAAAGAAACAAAAGCATTCTGCCAAATTATTCTCTCATTCACACCTTCACCAGTCCACTGAAGTCAGTGAAACAGCATGTGTATAACTGAGGGCACAATTTGACCCCAAACAAATACAGTTACTTGCTGAGCATAAGTAGGTATAGGAAATCAAAGGATTTAGGGGAAGATCTTGCAACCTAACTAGAAGTCCCGGAGTCAGTGGAACAACTGCATTTCCACTGTGCAAAGGAGCAGGATGCAGGGATTCCATGCAGGAGGTCTGTATACTCTGCAGCTTGTGGGGCACAGCGCGGGCATCCCTGTGCTTCAGCATGGAGGAATGGTTTATAAGTTTGGCAGTGGATCCCCCAAGTCAGACCTCGGGATCCATCCAGAAATCACCATCCAGTTCTATCTCCCTTTAAAAAGGATGTGCAGAACATGCACTTGTTTATCTGTGCTCATATTTTTTATTCATTTCAAACACAACACAGGTAATCCTTTTTATGTTTTTTAATGATAAGAATGATGAGTCACTCTGACTATATTATAACAAGTGATTTATATTGTGGCTGATAATGTCTACGAAGAGCAAATGATCTCATACTTTCTTCCCCAATTCAGCATTGCCGTTAAGCACATAAATAGTGGGTTTGACTTCATTGGGACCATAGACACGCTTAAAGTTAAGCACATGCTTAAGTGCTTTGCTGAATTGTAGTCCACAAAACCCTCCCTCTATGCATATTCTACAATAAGGAAAATATTCACTATTTAATGGAAATATGGTTTAACGGCAGACCTGCAGAATTTGTGCAGTTTGTACTTATATATGTGGAACTTGTTTTCTATTTCACTGCCCACGTAAGTTCCACTTTATTTAAATGTACAGCCAAAGTTAAGTAAAGTGATACTCTAAATGTCTGTATTTCAATTTAGGAAGAGACTGCCAAGAAGATATTGATGAATGTGCATCCAAGCCTTGCTTCCCTGGGGTATTTTGCTTTAATACTTTTGGTTCCTATTATTGTGGTCCATGCCCAAAAGGTCTACATGGAGATGGGGAGATATGCCATGGTAAAATAACCTTTCCCTGTAATACTGCAATCACCTTACATTAGGAGTCTTTGGTCTGTTGCATATTTCAAACAATAACATATTCGAGAGCTGACAGATATCTTGTATACTTTTCATCAAAATGTATTTTTGCTAAGTCAGATATTAGGTTTATAATTCCCCTACTGTTATGTGACAGTAGACAGAGAGAGCAGATACCCAGCTGGTGAAAATCAAAGTAGCTCTGTTTAATTCATTGGAACGACACCAGTTTTCACCAGCCCATTTATCTAGGAAATGCTTCTTCAGATGTTTAGAAATAGGAATTGTAAATATTTTGCAGATATTTAATATTATAGAATGGATACTTCCCATTAACATGAAGTGTTTGGTTACCATGTATATTTATTGACCAAATATCCTAATTATTTTTTAAGAAATCTGATTACATTTAGTCAAATCAAACAAATGACTTGCCAAGGTGCCTGCAAGATTATGTAATATTGCAACTACTGAATAATTCAGGTTTTGGTATGGTTATGTACTTTTTCAAAAACTATGGAGAACCCTTTTCTCCCCACCCCGTTCATCTGACCTTTCAGAATCTTGAGGTATTTTATTTTACTAACATTTTAACTCTGCTATTGTTTTATATGCAGTTGAAACAAAATTGACAAGTGATGTTCCCTCACATCTTTTGGCTCCGGAAAGCTTTGAAGATGTTTATGATGAAAGAGAGGATGACACTGAAGAAATGGGAAGGAATGAGGGTGAAGATTACATTTTTCATGAAGAAAATGGAATTGCTGATGCACATACTGATGAGAATGTATCTGGCAAGTAAAGCTACCAGTCAATTTTATGTTATTCACATGAATTTTTAAGATTAAAAGGAAACAGAATATATGCATTACTTGGGCTGCATTCTTATTCCTGATCTAAAATGTCAATATCAAAACATCACTTAAGATAGCAAAGTCACCTGATTGGTTCTGTAATGAGGGATAGTGTACATGTTGTATTTTGTCTGTGTGCCTGCCTAGTGCTATAAAATAGATAAAATGCGAATAGGGAGGGGACATCTGTTGTGTGAAACAGACAGTGGTTTATGGCATTATACTGAGTGCCATTTTAATTCTTAAACTAAATACATGGGTGAGGAGTATTGCAAATGAACTCTAAATTCTAACCTCCAGAACTCCTTTAACTTTTATACTTGGCATTTCAACTCTGTGCCTTGTCAAGCTACATTCTCAGGAAATTTCCTTTCCACATCTTTTCCCATTAATCCTCTAAAATGTTAGTGGGGAAAGAGATATGCGCCCTTACTGGTGTAACCAAAACCAGATAATTCTTCCTCAACTGCAAATAGCTTGTTTTTCAGCCACAGGAGATATAATAATTACTTTAGCATGCTATTGCCGGAAAATTTCCCCTTGCAAAAGGCCATCTAGTAGTATTCTAGAAGAATTAGGGCCAGATCCTTAGGTCTGGCTGAGTGTTACTTCCCTGCTCCCGGAGAGTACCTGGGGCCAGTTCAGCCACCAGTGTAAGTGTAACGGGGTTGGGACTCACCACCGTGGCACCTCCTACTGGTTGTTCCAGGAATTAGCTCAGTTCAGTGGCGCGCCCCCTCCTAGTGGTGTCCCAACCGTTGTCTCACCCTCGGTTGGCATGTCTGAGCCCTCGTTGCTCACCAACTCACGGTGTCCCCTTCAGGACCACTGCCCTCCGGCAGTGCCCCTCTGTCTTTCCACACCCCCTTCCGGGGGGAGGGGGGGTCAATCAGCAGTCTCCTTGTCCAGCCACCGTAGTCAACCACACCCCCCCAAAGTCTAATCCCTCCCATCAGGGATCTGGCGTGGTCTGTACTGGCCGCTCCCTACGGCCAATGGCTAGATGTACTGCAAGGAGGTAGTGGGGGGACCCAGGCCCGCCCTCTACTCTGGGTCCCAACTCAGGGACCCTCTGGCGGCAGCCTCACTGTCCTCCTACTGTCCTCTCATCTGTCCGCTTCCCTGGGCTGCTTCCCCTACGGCCCCTTGCACCCGCTAGGCCTTTCCACTCAGGGCCTGCAGCCTGGCAGGCCTCAGGCTAGAGCTCCCCAAGCCTGGCCAGCTCTGCGCTGTCCACGGTGCTAGTCTCCCAGCTTGGAGATAGACCTGCCCCTCTCAAAGGCCTGGGACAGACTGACTGCTCTCTCCCTGAGCAGGCTTTTATAGGGCTGAGCCTGGCCTTGATTGGCTGTCTCCAACCTGGGCCCTGATTGGCTCCCAGTAAGCCCTTCTCTGATTGGCTGTGCGTCTGCGCTGGCCTGCCGCAGCCCATAATCTCAGGGAGCGGGGCAGCCGCCCCACTACAGTAAGGTAGAGCTGCTGCAGTAGGACTGCTGTGGCATCTGCAAAGGCCCCATACAAGCCATTTTGCCAGCTCAGTTTGGTGCTCTGGCTGTACTCACTTCCACCCCTTTTATGCCATCTCTGACCTTTGAAGGACAAGAGGGACTAACAGAAGGTGGCCAGGGGACTAGGAGAAGCTCAGAGAGACTCAGGATCTGGCCCTTTAACTCCATTTGTATTATGAAAAATTCAAATATTCAATTACTAGAAACTGTTTTCAGAACTCTGTGATGATACATTTTACACACGTACACACACTGCATCCCAGGCTATATTATTTAAATCCATGAACAAATCCTTCAGCTTGTAATACCTTAAAATGATTTTCTTAGTCTACTTAATGTTTAATCAAGACAATTTTAACTAACTGAAATCTCAGTTAATTGAAAGGCTTTGAGAGTTCACAGCCAGCAGATGATACTCTGCTGAAATCCTTAGGGTATATCTGCATCGCAATAAAACACCAGCGGCTAGCCCACATCAGCTGACTCAGGCTTGCAGGGCTCTGGCAGCAGGGCTATGAAATTGCAGTGTAGACATTTGGGCTCAGGCTGGAGCCTCTGCTTTGGGACCCTCCCGCCCAAGCCCGAATGTTTACACTGAAATTTTATAACCACACAGCCTGAGCCCCATGAGCCTCAGCCAGCGGACACGGGCCATCCCCGGATGTTTTATTGCAGTGTAGACATACCCTGAGTGAGCCTAGTTAGGAACCTATCTAATGCCCATTTGGACCTAATAAACATTTACCACTGTATAGAAAAACAAGGAAAAGAGAAAAATTGGAATATGCAAAAAATTTAAATCAGATGGAATTATCTAGTACAGCGGTCTATTATAAAACACCAATGTACCGTATGCTTGCCAATAATCAGTCTTGGTGCAGAGAATCAGTAATGAATATTATATCAAGACATGCAAGCTAAAGATATGGTAGCAACTCTACTTCCCAGATATAAACCTTGTTGATAAACATAGAATCATAGAATATTATGGCTGGAAGAGACCTCAGGAGGTCATCTAGTCCGATCCCCTGCTCAAAGCAGGACCAACACCAACTAAATCAAACCAGGCCTTAAAAACCTCTAAGGACGGAGACTCCACCACCGCCCTAGGAACCCATTCCAGTGCTTCACCACCCTCCTAGTGAAATAGTGTTTCCTAATATCCAACCTAGACCTCCCCCACTGCAACTTGAGACCATTGCTTCTTGTTCTGTCATCTTCCACCATTGAGAACAGCCGAGCTCCATCCTCTTTGGAACCCCCCTTCAGGTAATTGAAGGCTACTATCAAATCCCCCCTCACTCTTCTCTTCTGCAGACTAAATAACCCCAATTCCCTCAGGCTCTCCTTGTAAGTTATGTGCCCCAACCCCTTAATCATTTTCATTGTCCTCCGCTGGACTCTCTCCAATATGTCCACATCCCTTCTGTAGTGGGGGGACCAAAACTGGATGCAATACTCCAGGTGTGGCCTCACCAGTGCCGAATAGAGGGGAATAATCACTCCCCTTGATCTGCTGGCAATGCTCCTACTAATACAGCCCACTATGCCATTGGCCTTCTTGGCAACAAGGTCACACTGCTGACTTGTATCCAGCTTCTTGTCTGCTGTAATCCCCATGTCCTTTTCTGCAGAACTTCTGCTTAGCCAGTTGGTCCCCAGCCTGTAGCAGTGTATGGAATTCTTCCTTCCTAAGTGAAGAACTCTGCACTTGTCCTTGTTGAACCTCATCAGATTTCTTTTGGCCGAATCCTCCAATTTGTCTAGTTCACTCTGGACCCTATCCCTACCCTCCATCATATCTACCTTCCCCCCTCCAGCTTAGTGTCATCTGTGAACTTGGTGAGGGTACAATTAATCCCATCATCCAGATCATTAATAAAGATGTTGAAGAAAACCAGCCCCAGGACCGACTCCTGGGGCACTCCGGTTGATACCGGCTGCCAACTAGACATCGAGCCGTTGATCACTACTCATTGAGCCCAACAATCTAGCCAGCTTTCTATCCACCTTATAGTCCATTCATCCAGCCCATACGTCTTTAACTTGCTGGCAAGAATACTGTGGGAGACCGTATCAAAAGCTTTGCTAAAGTCAAGATATATCACATCCACCACTTTCCCCATATTCACAGAGCCAGTTATCTCATCATAGAAGGCAATCAGGTTGGTCAGTCATGACTTGCCCTTGGTGAATCCATGTTAACTGTTCCTGATCACCTTCCTCTCCTCCAAGTGCTTCAAAATAGAGTCTTTGAGGACCTACTCCATGATTTTTCCGGGACTGAAGTGAGACTGACTGGTCTGTAGTTCCCCGGGTTCTCTTTCTTCCCTTTTTAAAATATGGGCACTATATTTGCCTTTTTCCAATCGCCTGGGACCTCCCCCGATTGCCACGAATTTCCAAAGATAATGGCCAATGGCTCTGCAATCACATCAGCTAACTCCCTCAGCACCCTCGGATGCATTAGATCTGGACCCATGGACTTGTGCATGTCCAGCTTTTCTAAATAGTCCTTAACCTGTTCTTTCACCACTGAGAGCTGCTCACCTACTCCCCATGCTGTGTTGCCCAGTGCAGCAGTCTTACGCAGGACTTTGCTTCACTGAGGTTGATATTCATATTCAGCTTGGTAGCTTTGTAATAGGACTTGCTGAAATATTTGTTTTTGTTTTTGTGTGTTAAAGTTTCTGATGGATTAAAAGCTTAAACTGGTGTGTGGAGGGAGCGTTTTATATTGCAAACATATCAAATAACTTGGAACAATAACAACAAAATCTTTGTGGTGCAGACCAGTTGGAATAATGTAATAACATAGCTGAATAACAAGCAAAAATATAGACATCATTAATCTTTGGATTTTAATAATGTGAAACAACTCTTATTTCATAGCACTTTTTTCATTAAACTATATGATGCCTTTTAAATTATATGGGCATTTTTATGAGTATTACAGGCAACCATTTCCTACGGCTTATGCTATTTCAAAGTAATAACTGTATGTGGCTTTTTAAACTCTGGACTTGGGTTAGCTTGACATATATGTGCAGTGTTATTATAGCAGGCAATCACTTTATCTTAAACTAAACTCTCTGGTCCAGATACTCAGTCCCCAGCAATACAAAGAGGTTGGTAATCCGTCCTAAGAGAACAGCTGCTCATTGCCCTGGTGTGTTTGTGTTTGTGTGGGAGGAATCCCTGGTTGTATGCCAGAGCTGTTCTATTCTAACGTTCCCAGCAGAGAGGCCATGTCGGGGAGGGCGAGGACATTGTGCTTTGTTGATCCTGGCTGCTTAGGGGCCATTCTTAGGGCTTAAATCCTATTGAGTGTATCTATTCTGGCCTAGCAAGTGTGGATGAAGGGTTCATGAGGCACAGGATATATTTTATCAGATCTGAAGATCCCCACACAAAAATGTCTTGTAATATTTCTGTACCTTTTTTCTTCTGTGATGTTTTGTAGGTTATCAACAGTCCATTGAGAGACTTCCTAATGCCACAAGCTTTACTCCGAGTCCTACAGATGTTGTCGAAAGTTTTATTTCTGTGCAAAGAGCCAGCAGCACCCCCTCAACCTCCACAGTGAAAACAAACACACCGTGGAAGCGAATTAATTCTCAAATAACGACTTTTGACCAGTCTGCGAGTACCAGATACATTGGCCATACCTTCACTGCCATCAGTAACCAGCTAGATAACACAGGAGAAAGCTCTGCTGTAAACACTATGACAACACCATCTTTTAGGAACAGTCCAGTATTACACGATAAGACAACAATGACACAATCTGAGGCCTACAATCCTTTAGAGACTAGCAAGGACACATTGCTTAGCAGCAAAATGAACATACCCTCCATAATGAGCAGAGTATTAAAAGGAGGAAATAGTCACAAAGTTCAACACCCATCGGTCAAGCATAAGGATAGTCTTTTACGGTCTGGTTTTGTTGCAATCACTGACCCACCAAAAGTGCCTGGCACAGATATGGAATCAGATGCAACAGCAGTGCCTAAGGCATTAACTTGTGCTGATTTACCTTGTTTTCCTGGAGTTCTCTGTGAACCAAGCCATGATGGAAGTTTCAAATGCGGTCGTTGTCCTTATGGTTATTATGGAGATGGTGTCTCTTGCAGAGGTATTGCTGATAATTATACTAAATGTTTTCCAATGACTATTTTTGTAATTTTAAAAAAAGGTATTGTTACTGTATAATGGCTGGAAAGAAAATAGCTTTACATTGTCCATTATTTCACTATTAAAAATGATACAGCTTGAATTTCACACCAAGACGTTCAGTTGTATGAATGCATTTTTAAAAAAAATGTTTGTTCAGTGTCCATTAGCTTCCATGCTTAATGTCAAGGGTCTTAGCTGATTCAATGCGACGTGTTTATAAATAATCATGTTAGGCCAGACTTCATTATGCTAAAGTGCTGCTGTCATTTTCCTTATTCCTCTGCTCTTATTTCTCTTATTTCTCTTATTGTCTTGCAGCAATATGTAGGCATGCATGTGGTAAAAACATGGAGTGCGTGGCACCCAATATTTGCAAATGCAAACGTGGCTACTCTGGTTATAACTGTCAGAGTGGTGAGTATGGTACATTGAATTTACCCCATCTAACTAGTATGTGCTAATGAAAGTATCTAAAAATCATGTGTTGATTTTGCACAGCTGTATGTCAACCTGACTGTAAAAACCATGGCAAATGCACGAAGCCCAATGTCTGTGAATGTCCCCCAGGATACAGTGGATCAACCTGTGAGGAAGGTAATTGGGCTGTCTCCTTAAAATTAAAATCATAGAGTCCAAAAAAGTTGTGACCTGATTGACTGTCACTACTGTGAGTATTCATCCTGACAGGGGGAGGGATGTCTGTTGGTTTACACAACTCCTAGAACTATCATAGAAATGAAATCATAGAAACGTAGGACTGGAATGGACCTTGATAGGTAATCTAGTTCAGTCCCCTGCACTGAGGCAGGATTAAGTATTATCCCCTGACAGGTGTTTGTCTAACCTGTTCTAAAAAACCTGAGGGAGATTCCAGTCTCCCTAGGTAATTTGTTTGAGTGTTGCACTACCCTGACAGTTAGGAAATTTTTCCTAATGTGTAACCTAAATCTCCAGTTGCAGTCTAAGCCCATTAACTTCTTGTCCTGTCCTCGGTGGTTAAGGAGAACAATTGATCACCCTCCTCTTTTTAACAACCTTTTACATATTTGAAGACTTTTATCATGTCATAATAAAATGTATGTATAAACTGTATCATTAAAGTATCTTTCATAATATTGAAATCTCCACGAAGATTGTATGTGGTGAGATGTTCCTAAATTTAGTGAGCTGTAAAGGCCAAAAGAATTTTGGTTTTCATTTTTATTTATGACATCAGTACATTTGGATGCTATATTATATCTACACATACATATATACACACATGCATAAAGATTAAACCCCATTCTCTCATGTCCTTAAAATATACGAATTAGCAAACTAAAAATTGATGGTGGGCGTTTGTACACCCATCTGTGTACAGAGTGCCAAGTGCAGAAACCAGGCTTAATATTTTCATTTGAAATTGGACGTGGTTCTCAGGCCTGTCACTCTCCCCACTATGCACAATTAGTAATTTTTGATAAAATGACGACCAGTCCCTGTGCCCTCAGTCGCACAGATGGCTCCCATTGAAGACAGTGGGCCAAGTTAATTGCTGACATGCACAGGTGTACCTCTATTGATTTCAGTGGAGCTGTGCCCACTCATACTTGCAGCAGATTTGGCCCATAACAACCTGCATGTGCTCATCAGGCAGAATTTGGCCTTTTCTGCACTTCATCACTGTGGAAAGAAGGAGGTACTCCATTGTCATTATTTCATCAACGGGTCTTCAGTTTATTTCCAATTCTTTTTGCTGATACAAATGTTACCTTTAGTTATCACTAAAAGATAACCAATTTTAATAGATATTTTTAGAGCTGACTTCTTGAACAACATAATTCTGTATCTACAGCACATTGTAACCCACTGTGTCAACATGGAGGCACATGCTTGGCCAGAAATCTCTGCACTTGCCCTTATGGTTTTGTGGGACCCAGGTGTGAAACAAGTAAGCAAACGAAAATGTAGAAATCAAGAATACAGTAACTTTTATTCCCCTCCACTGGGATTTATTAAAACGAACAATGCTTTACATTTCTGATGCACTGTATCTGCTGTTAGCAAATAGTAAAATCCAAGATGACTGTTTGAAGGCTACTAGAACTGGGGCTTACTAGCATCAATTAAATAATGTTTGTAGAGCACTGTGAAAATGTATGTATGTGCTAAATAATGTATTATTATTATGATTAGTTGCTCAGGGAGATGGATTTAGAGTTGAGGTTAGGACATTATCCAGAACGAGTGTAATTTTTGGCATCTGGTTACTGTTTCTAGATTCCTAACATGACCCTTCCTTTAGCTGTTGGGATGGTCCTCATTCTGAGGTTGATAGTAGTAAATGCTAGGTCAGTGGTGTGTAAGATCACTGAGCATAACAGCACATTAATGGACTCATCCTCTGACCTGGAATGCAAAATAGAGACCTTTGTTGGGTATTACAGCTGGCCAGTTTGAACAGTTTAGTCCCAAGTGAGATACTTTTTTTCACATTAGTTATATCTGGCCTTAGATGCTCCAAATGTTCGAACCAGAATTTTGGTTAATTTGCACACAAGTCGTTACTCACTGAAATGTCCGTGCTTAGAAATCAGAAATTCTACTGGGCTACCGCCCACCTCAACACGCCAACGAATTTGCCTGTGGACTAGGTAAATTCCTCTCTTTGTTGCTCTTGGAATCCTCAGGTCTGTTGATCCTTTTGGTTTTCAATTGCCATGTTCATAATTACTGCTCTTGGGGGATTATATGATCCCAGAAGAAGGAACTGTGTCTTGAAGCGCTGACTTGTGTGCTCTGCAGCCATGACTATTCCTAAAAGGCTCCTCCTTCCCAGAAGTATCAGGTCTCTAGAGAGTTTAAGTGTGAACTCTGAGAAATGAAAAGGAAGAAAAGAGACCGTAGTGAAGTATCTTGAAGTTAGCATTTATTCAGGAAACCATCACTTGATGTTGTTGTACCATTTGTTGCTCAGTCTTGAACCTTCCTTTTTCTAAGCATGTACTTAGAAAGGTGATTATTAGACAAATCTAGGCCAGGAGCATCTGTTCAGAATGGGACTTTTTTTGACATCTTCCAATCTGGTGTCAAACTCCTATATGGCATTGAGACAGGATTCAGCTTAAATGAAGCCACAAGTGATGGATTGGTGTGTAACTCCCATTAGTATCAATACAATATACATGCTCATATCTGGGGAAGAACTGAGAAATCAATGAGGTTTCTCACAGACATAAAATTATAACAAGCTCTTTTGTACTGTTTTCTCAGCTTATGGGGTTTTTTTTCTGATTTTCTGGATTATAGTGGTTTGCAACAGACACTGTGAAAATGGTGGTGAATGTCTCACTCCAGATGTCTGCCAGTGTAAAGCTGGCTGGTATGGACCTACATGCAATACAGGTAAAATTGGTTATTCTCCAAAGGGAACTGCTTTGCAAAAGTTCCACACTCGGGGGCCTACCAGAAGCAGAAGGGATTCCCATTGCTCAACCTTCTGAACCATTTGGCTCAAGCAGGGGGCAGGAGCTGCTGCTACTGCTGTGGAATCCTAGCGACCCCATGTGCCTCCAACCGTTAGTTCATTTCTTAGCACAGCCTGCGGAACTTTGCAGGGAATGGCATTTCAGTTCTTTCACCTGCTGTCTTTTAGATTCATTGTAATCACATTAATCATTAACACCCTGTACTTGCAGTAAAAGCAAGCTATTTCATCACCCATATGTGGCGATGCAGTTCTGTGTGGCTTTCATTGCTTTGTTTTTCCTTCTGCTGTTCTGCAGCGGTGTGTGACCCCGTATGCCTCAATGGTGGCTCCTGTACTAAGCCAAATGTTTGCCTCTGTCCTAATGGATTCTTTGGTGCCCAGTGTCAGAATGGTAATAATTTTTCTCTTACTTTTCTTTTTTGGGAAGACACTGAGGAAAATGTCTCCCTCTAAAAGGACACTTTCAGGATTTTAAAAACTCTCAGTAAAGTAACATAGGGGAAAGACAGAGATTTCCTTAACATTTCATTGTTTATACTGGCCAGATTGTGGCTGGCCCCTTGTGTGAATGTCCAAGGAGGGAGGATGCATGGAACTTTGCTTGCCCTGCGCCTTTGCACCCATACAAAAGCCAGTCACAATTGTACAAAGGACTGTTGGCTGTGGGGTATGACTGGGCCCTTAGCTAGCTAGCCTGCACACTGCTATCAGTAAGGCTAAGATTTTGTCATGGATATTTTTAGTAGAAGTCCAGACAGATCACGGGCAATAAAGAAAAATTCACAGAAGCCTGTGACTTGTCCCTGACTTTTACTAAAAATATCAGTGACAAAATGGGGAGCTCTGGGCAGCTGTGGGGGCCGGCTGGGAGCTCTGGCGGGCCCCACCACCTGTTGGGACTCAGAAGTCCAGGGTCCCCCTCCACCTGCGTCACAGAGCTGCAGGGTCCCTGCTGCCCAAGGCGGCTGGGAACTGCGGGGAGGGTGAAGGGGGGGCAAGCCAGGAGCTACGAGTTCACCCCCCCTATGGTGGCTTGAGCCCCCTGCTGCCTGCGGTGGCCAGGAGCTCTGGGGTCACCCTGCTGCCCACAGGAGCCGGGAGCTGTGGGGTCTCCCTGGCCCGCGGCAACCAGGAGCTGTGGGGTCCTCTGTCACACAAGTTGGCTCAGACCTCGGGGGGCCCCCACCGCTGCGGGCAGCGGGTACTCTGCAGCTCCCAGCCACGGTGGACAGCAGCGGGACCCTGCAGCTCCCTGCCGCTGCGGGCTGAAGTCATGGACATCTTCGGAAGTCACAGATTCCTTGACTTCCACAACCTTCATGACAAAATCGTAGCCTTGGCTATCAGGGATACTAGCGTGTATAGCATCCTGCAGTGCAGCTGCGAGCCCTGAGCCATCCTACCCTGTGCTTGTAGAATGGGTCCTGTATCTGCTACAGAATAGGC